GGGATGAGTCTGGGCCAGTTACCCTCACTTAAGCCAGTCTACCTTATAAGATAGTTATAAGTTGTTGGGAGAGGGATAAAGTCGGGAAACCCTCTCCTGTATGCAATCTGAGCTCTCAGAAAAAAAGGGAAGAGATAAATGCATTTTTTTTTAAAGTGAAAAGCTTTTTAATGTACTGTACTGCATACTTATATTGCTGATATTAATTTTATACTGATAATTCATCACAGCACACTTTTGTAGGTGAACGGCAATTCAGAAATGTGTTCATGTGTGCGTATACTCACAACTCAGAAATGTTATCTAAGTAGCATTTTATACGCATGTTGGCATGTGTATTGTACAGAATACAATTCAGAAATGTGTTATATAGCTATGTGACTGTGTATGCGATAATATCTGTGTGTGTGTGCATGCATGAAACGAAGGCATCTAAGGGTCACTGCACATTATCCCACCCTGGCTATAACTGCTTACCCATAATTCAAAAGTCCATTCCACTACTGGCAAACATGTTTTCCCCACCATCCTGTTCCCCTTCCTTTTCCTTTTCTTTGTCTTCACCACCTTAAAAGCAATGGTATGTTATCTGCATTAAACATAACCCCCTTGTGGCACTGCTAATTAGGCCCAATTTCACAGGCGCAGAGTGCCACCGTTAACATAGCCAGGATGGCACCGCCCACCTATCCAAGGGGAGAGTCTCAGCAAGACTTAAGGATCCACGGCACAGCGTGTGCTCAGAGGCGATGGAACGTGAAAGGTAAGAGAATGGGATGCATCGCTGACTGGAACACTCACTGGGGATACATCACACTGCAACATTCTGTTGCAACAACATGCCAGCTTCATTTAACTGGGTTCTGACAACGAGCATGCCACTTTTACGCGCCCAGGTAGAATATTTTTCGTTTGGCCTTACTTGGCCTAGTGTGACACTATCTCAAATCTGTCCTCCTCTAGACACAGATGAAAACGTTGAATCCTCAATTCAACATTCTCCACGACACTTCAAAAGAATCTGTACCTTTCCCAAATATATATACAAATGTATTTTTCCCCCCTTAGTATGCCACATACATAAAACCAAAGTGGATATCGTAGGGAGGGAGGGATTTTTGGTGCCCTGCATGAAAAGACCCACTTTTTTTAAAAAAAGAAAAAGAAAGAGTTTTTAAAACTAACATTTCAGAAGAACAAGGTCAGGAGGAAATTAAACAGCAAGACAGAAAGAATGGAATACCTCGTTCAGGAGGTTTCGAGGTATGCTTTTGTTTGTAACTATCTGAAATACAGAAAGAGAATGAGAGAAAGGTGAAGGCAGTCTATAGGTCACACACATAACATGCACACGGTCAGCTATACAGAGCGATTAAAAAGGAGGAAAGAAAAACAAAGCTCATTGGTGTTATTTCAAATTAAGAGGGGTAGTATAAAATTCTTACAGGAAAGTAAAGGAGGAGAGAAAGAAAAGTAATTTCAAAAACTCATGATTTGCCCTTTGGAAAGATCTTGCCAATCGCCCTTCACCCCCAACTTTTCCATTAGTCACCAAGGTTTCATGGGCATTACTTTTTTCAGATTGGTATACAGGGAATAGGTCAAAGATCAAAGAGTAGTGAAATGTGAAACCAGAGGAGGCACTGCCCACAAGAACTCCGGGGTCTGCGTGTGAGGTGCAACAAGGTGCAAATACACTAGCAAAACAATTCCAGGGTAAAACAGCTTCTCCTTCCTGTGCTGTGTGTCTGATCCAAACCTAGGATCTGCCAGAGGAAATGGGTTAGAACTTTTCCCAGAATTCCACTTCTAGGACAGAGAAAGGAACAGCTAAGACCCCAGCTGACAACACCAAGTGAATTTGTTTCCAAGGGCAGTGAGACGTGCTCTTAGGGAGCCAACTTCAGGCAGCAGAGACGGTGGCCAATGCTGCGGGTCTCTACGTTTCACTGAACTCTTCACCAGGCAAAACTGAAAAACCCGCCATTTCCCCAAGTCAGGTAAAGCAATGTTATCACCTTCACATCTTGTGATAAAGCAACATGACATCCCTGGTAATAATGTAATTCGGCTCTCCCCAAACAGCCCTCAGAACAGTGCACGATTAACAAGGGCCAAGTGAAAGGAGGTGGGTGTAGCCAGCCTGTGGCGCGTCTCCCCAAGAAATCCACCCAGGGCATTCACACACAACCCCATCCTAACACCATGAGCTATTCCCAGCCTGGATACCAGTAAAAGCAAGAAGCAGTTCACTATCGGATAGCATGGCTCGCCTTCTTACTCACTGTCACATGCATAAGGTTTGTCTCTGTCTTCCAAAATGGCGGCATCCAGCTTTTTCCGAGCACTCCCAACTCCTTTACCCTATAAGCCCATAGAGAAGGAAATTAGATTAAAAAAAAAAAAGGATGGCAGATGCAAAGTACTCTTTCTTGCTGGTTTGGGGGGAAAAGGGAAATCTAGGGTGGGTCTTAAAATTTAAATCTCATATATTGCTGGTTCTATTCCTACAATTCAAATACTGTAGACAGGACTGAAGTATGATACTGTGATTGTGTTCACACTTTATGGCAAGCCATGGCTAATTTAAAATTCATCACAGCTGGGTTCACACTCACCGCACTGAGCTATACAATAAGACTGCAAACCACAATGGCCAGTTTTGCAAAACACTCTAAGCAACATCACAGAAATGATATTATGGCCTAGCACAGTGCGCAAACCAAGTCATCAGAATGGTTGGAACAGATCAAATAGCTATGAAGTTTACAAATTAGCTAATATTATTGATGTATAGAGTTAACACCCACAAGAGTTAACAACAGCTTTTGAAAGGGAGTGAGACGAAAGGACAGAGGACAGGCCTTTAAGCAGCACTTGGGATCTCAGTGACTGCAGATGCTGTGCTATCCCAAAGATCTCCAAATAGAGCCATTAAGATTTTCTTAAAAAATTAAAAATAGACAAAATATTTTAGACTGCCTCTCTCATGAGATTAAATTTGTGGGGGGCACCTCCACTTGGTGTCTGAAAAGGCTGCCACTCCTTATTTTAAGGCATTAGCCATGATAACCAGACAGAACCTCTAGATAGAGAAACAACCTACAGGTAGTCCTCAAGTTACAACCATTCGTTCAGCAACCATTCGAAGTTACAACGGTGCTGAAAAATGGACTTACAACTGGTCCCCAAAGTTACAGCCTTTAAAGCGCCCCCGTGGTCACGCAATTGCAATCTGGGCACTTGACAACCTATTCGTACTTACGACCAGTTGCCGAGCACCCCGCGATCAGCGATCGCCATTTGCAACCTTCCCTGCCAGCTTCCCACAAGCAAAGTCAATGGGGAAGCCGGCAGGGGAGGTCACAAATCACTGGGGTAAGTCTCCCCCACCCACCCCAGCCTTTCTTCGTTTGCACGCACTGCACCCTCCTTCCCCTGTCGCTTGCTCGCACCACACTCTCCTTCACTCCTTCGCTTGCTCTGTGCCGCCTTCGTGCT